TAGTGCGGGAAAAAAACAACACCGGTGGTCAGAAGTATGCATGAAGATATCAAGATGAATTAATATGTATATCTTGACGGAGACGAGAATCGAGCGGTTACGTGCATTGTCGAAAAAAATAAATAAATTAATTAATATATACAAATCTCTTGTTAAAAATATATATATACATGCAGGAAAAATTCGTGAAAACGGATGGCGATTGAGCAGGGCGTGAGGATTGCCATGATGACCATAAACTGATGGTGACAGCGTGACAACGGGAAAGGGCGATGGGAAAAGTCATAGCTTGAATGTTGCGGGAGAACAAATACATGTATTAATGTTTTAATGAATGTATATTCTGAGTGACAGGGCGGAGAGTGAGGGCAGCGGATGGGAAGAGGGAATGAAAGAGCGAGGGAAAGGGACAGAGGGAGGGATGGATGCAGGGAGGGAGAAGAGGGAAAGGAAGAGACAGGGGCAGGGAGGAGAGGAAGAGGGAGAGGGGGGAGGGAAGGAGGGAAGGGTGATGAGGGAGGGACAGAGAGAGAGAGAGAGAGAGAGAGAGAGAGAGAGAGAGAGAGAGAGAGAGAGAGAGAGAGAGAGAGAGAGAGAGAGAGAGAGAGAGAAATGAGAGACAAGAGACATACACCGAGAGACAGACAAAAACATCGACAGAGAGACCGAGGAAAAAGCGACAGAACGCGAGAGAGCCAAGTCCGAGTCATATGGTATAGTTTACAATGGTGGCGCTGGGCAGCATCCAGGGGTCTGGTTGCCATAACAACGGCCACTCGGAGGCAGGCTGCACGCGCCGCCCCCACACCAGGAAGCGCCGAACCTCGCCACCATCACCTCCTCCTCCTCGCCCTCGCCGCCCGCCCATCATCACGCCATCACAGGGAGACACAAGGAGACGAAGGGAGACGCAGGGAGACGAAGGGGGACGCAGGGAGAGGGAGAGATGGACGAGGAATCCCGCGAAAACAGCCAGGGACCTCCTTTCCACCACAGGAGAGGGGGGGCAAGGCAGATAGAGGCTGGACGAGACAAGGATAGGACGAGGCAGGACGAGGCAGGGCAAGATAGGACAAGGCAGGGCAATATAGGACGAGGCATGACGAGGCAGGGCAAGATAGGACGAGGCAGGGCGAGATAGGATGAAGCAGGGCGAGATAGGACGAAGCAGGGCGAGATAGGAAGAGGCAGGGCAATATAGGACGAGGCAGGGCAATATAGGACGAGGCAGGGCGAGATAGGACGAGGCAGGGCGAGATAGGACGAGGCAAGGCAAGATAGGACGAGGCAGGGCGAGATAGGACGAGGCAGGGCGAGATAGGACGAGGCAGGACGAGGCAGGGGGAAGCAGGATGCGGCAGGGCGAGGCAACCGTGACCGACAGCTCCCGCTACGCAATGTACTGTGCGACTCCCGGGCCTTTTGTGAGCTTGAGAGCAAGGCGTAATAAAATCCCTCGTCACGCAGTTCCGCGCCGGTCGTCGCCTTGTACGCACGCGGGTCGTCCCACGTCCGGATCCTGCGGAGAGCGATCGCCACGGCACAGCGGCGGAGGCTCCTTATATTCTTCTTGACTTTATGAATAATAAGGGAAAACATATATCCCAAAATACATATTCCTCGTGCGTCCCCATCTCCATCTCCTTCTCCACCCCCCCCATCTCCCCCTCCACCCTGTCCCCCTCGCCAAGCACGCAATCAAGACCTACCCCATCCCTATCTCCCTTCCCCTAGTCCTCCCCAATCTGTTTCCCCTTTTGTCCCTGTGTATTTCTCCCCCTAAATCCGCTTTCTTGCTTTTTATTTCTCCTATCTTCTTCCATGCCTTTTACCCCTTCGTTCCAAAACTTTAAAAACACGTAGAAAATGGGAAAAATCGAAATAAAAACACATTCGAACTCTCAAGCCCGGTCAAATCTGTCAGTCAGTCACTCACTCAGCCCCCCTAACCCACCACCCCATCCACCTTATCCACCTCCACCCACCCTACCCACCTCCACCCACCCTATCCACCTCCACCCACGCTACCCACCCCATCCACCCACCCTATCCACCTCCACCTACCCCACCCGCCTCCACCCACCCCACTCACCTCCACCCACCCTATCCACCTCCACCCACGCTACCCACCCCATCCACCCACCCTATCCACCTCCACCCACGCTACCCACCCCATCCACCCACCCTATCCACCTCCACCCACCCCACTCACCTCCACCAGGGGCGGTTAAGGTTACGCGAAAGAAGGTTGTTTAGCGGCATGACACGGTTGCAACCTGACACACGGAAGTCAGTCATCATCACTACGTAGGTACTATGTGCGGTAATATATATATATTTTTTTTCATTTTTTTTTCGTTTCTCTTCTTTTCTTCTTCCTCTTTTTTTTTTCTAATCATACCGGTTTTCCCGACCGCGACTTGAATTGGTCTTGAAACCCAATATACACACTCACATCCCCCCAACAAGTACGCACCGAACTCAAACATCGAAACATTAATGGTAAATTTCAAGTAGTTGAAAAAAAAAAAAAAAAAAAAAAAAAAAAATTCTTCCTGCCCACTAAGCTAACACAACTAGCTGTATCTTAATCATTGCAAATCTAATGCTTATCACCGGTGCTAGAATTACCCCCCCCCCCCTAAAAAAAAAAAAAAAAAAAAAAAAAAAAAAAAAAAAAAAAAAAAGCTTAGATAAATGTTGATAATGCCATTTACAATCATTAACAGAAATCATGATCTCCCGATTAAGTAATATCCATTTGTAATTACCGTGATATTGCCAATGGTGGCCCTGGCTGGTTATCACCAACGATTATGAAATTAGCGCCGGAGATTAATGGCAAACGGTGTTCAATTTACTGTTTTCCCCCCTCTCTTCCCTTGCCTCTGTTTCCCCTTTTCCATTTATTTATTTACTTATTTATTATTAACTACCTTTCTTATCCCCCCCCCCCATTTTCTTCCATGTATCGCTCATTCTTTATGTATATACTTATTAAACCCCTTTCTTCCTCCATGCCTCTCTCTCACTTTCTTTCATTCTTCCTTCCTTTCTTCCCCTGGTGTTATTCTTTGCTTTCTTTTTTTTTTATTATTATTCCTATCTTCTGCCACGGCTCTTACGCCTTCGTCCCTTCACCCCGCCCACCCATCATTACCTTCTGGCGTTCGGTCCGGGCCAAGGCGGGCGGGCGGGCGGGCGGTCAATATCAAATGTGCGGAGCAGGTTGTTTCCCGGACGAACTTCCCCCCCCCCCTCCCCCCCCCCCTCACCCCACAATGACACGCCCCCCCCATCCCCTAGATTCTACCCACACACCCACACCCCTACCTATACCCCCCACCCCTAAACGCGCACACACACATCATCATCGTCATCCTCACGCCTACCCCTATCCATAGCAACACACATAAAACGCACCTAGTCACAGATACGCTTCTAACCACCCCCCCCCCCCTTCGCCTACCCACGTCCCTTCCCCCACACGCCCACACATCCTCAACGCCCATGACAGCTGCTTGACCAACCGTCGCTGCTCGCTTTCCCTTTCAATCCATTTGGCAAAGTGCCCGTCGAGAGGTTATGGTGCACGCTGTCCCCCTCGAACTCCATCCCCCCTTCCCTTCCCCTCCTCTCCTTCCCCTCCCTCCCCTCCTCTCGTCGATCATGCAGCGCGGTAGAAATCGTCCCAACGTCACGCCTTTCCATTATGCATGACTGCCGCTCCCCTCCCTCCCTTCACCCCTTTCTCTCTCTCTCTCCCCCCCCCTCTTTTCCCTTTACCCTTATCCCTCCCCCTCGTCTATCCCCCCCCACCCCCACCCCGACAGCACCCTCACGCTCGCCACCGAATGCTCTCCCTTGAGGAAATATCGTTAACACCATACTCACTTATCGTGGTGCTCTCTTTTCTTTTCCTTTCTTGCGAAACGAAACCCAAGTCGAGTTGAACGATTTCGAAGGCATTTTATCATCCGGAAAAAAATAAGAACAAGAAACGCGACCCGCGTTTCCTGTCCGTCCACACACATGCGAAAGATTATTCGTGACAACTCTTGGCCTCCGCGTATCCTGTGTTCTGGGGGATACTTTCTACGATCATCAGCAAACCTGCCCACCTCTCCCACTCACTCACTCTCCCACTCACTCACTCACTCAACTCACTCTTCTTCTCATCCACTCACTCTCCTCCTCGGCCTCCCCATCCCATTCTTCTCCTTCCCCACTCTATCTCCCACTCCCTCGCCCTCTTCCCTTCCTTCCCACTCACCTTTTTCTCCCCCTCCTTCTCCTTCTCCTTCTCCCTCCCCTTCTCCTAATCCCTCTCCCACTCCCACTCCCTCGTTTCGCCTTTGAATAAACACACACGAGTACGACACACATGCACTCTACGCACACCTCCTGCCGCACACCCGAGAGAGCATCGGTCCCCGCTATAACGCCTCTCCCATCTATCTCGAGACGATCTCCTCCTGCTTCTGCTTCTTCTACTTCTTCTTCTCCTCCTTCTCGTCCTCGTCCTCCTCCTCCTTCTCGTCTTCCTCCTCCTTCACGTCCTTCTCCTCCTTTCGTCTCGTCCTCGTCCTCGCTGCAGCGACCGAGGGTACGAGACGAGAGGACACGCCCTGCTCATCCTCCACGCATCCTGTCCACAGTCCCCTACCACTCCCCCTGCTCCTTGCCCCCCTCCCCCTCCCCCTCCCCCCTTAACCCCCTACCCTCCATCCCCCAGCCACGCTGCTAGCACTACGAAGCCGCTAACTCATTCATGGTCATGCTCATGCCACTACACGAATTTAACGTCACGTGATAGGAAACAAAGGAGGGGACTGACTTGGGATATGGAAGGAGTGGGTGGGAGGGAGGGAAGGACGGAGGGGAGGGAGGGAGTGATATGGAGGAGAGAAACGAGAGGGACGTGAGAGAGGAGAGGAGAGGAGAGGAATTGAGAATAGGGGAGAGGTTAGCAGGGATATGAAATGAAGGAAGGGAGAGAGAGGGAGAGAGGGAGAGAGGGAGAGAGGGAGAGAGGGAGAGAGAGAGAGAGAGAGAGAGAGAGAGAGAGAGAGAGAGAGAGAGAGAGAGAGAGAGAGAGAGAGAGAGAGAGAGAGAGAGAGAGAGAGAGAGAGAGAGAGAGAGAGAGAAAGAGAAAGGAAGAAAGAAAGAGAGAAAGAGAGGAAGAGCGCGAGACACGGGGATCTTAAGCACAGACATCCAAGCACGCGCCTGCACACGGACCGTATGCATAAGAGGCACTGTGCAGGCGCCTCGCTCCACGTGGCTCACAAGAGATAAAAAAAAGTCGAAATAAAAGTAGGATCGTCCCAGGGGAGTAAAATAACCATTGAAAATAAAATCCTTGAGGAAGATAATAGTCGAAATAAAAGCATTAGCGTCCCAGGTGGATGAAACGCCCCAAAATAAACGTAGGATTAGAGCTCCTCGTGGAAGCAAAAAGTCCACGCGCATACTGTAGATTTCCCGGTGAAGTCAAACCGTCTAAAGGCATCATGCCCTATTAGACCCAGAGATAAACATAACAAAATGGAGAATTTAGTCGGAATAGAAACACCGAATAATCCGAGGGGGAAAATGAACGAAATTCACGTCATGTAGCCACAGTCCCTGGTAGTGGCAGTGTAGCCCAGGTGAGGGAAGAGTCTCTAGGTGCCCCCGTTCAGAGAGGTGTGGTGCCCAGCCTCCCACGGTAGACAGGAGAAACGAAAGAGAAAGAGAGAAAGAGAAAGAGAGAGAGACTGAGAGAGAGACTGAGAGAGAGAGAGAGAGAGAGAGAGAGAGAGAGAGAGAGAGAGAGAGAGAGAGAGAGAGAGAGAGAGAGAGAGAGAGAGAGAGAGAGAATTTTAAAAATACAAAAAAAAAAAAAAAAAAAAATGAATGACGGATATGAATGGGGGGGGGGAGGTTGGGGACAAAGCACAAGGAAGGAAGAAATTTGGAAAAAAGGGACATAATAATCTAGAAGAAAGAGAAGACGCCATAGAGCGCTGTCCTACTCACCTTCTTGTGATTGGTCTTCATAGCCTGCAAGATAGGTATGCAACACTTTATAATGTGAATGTTAGTCCGGCTCCAAGCACTCTGCGTCACTCGGTCTCAACACTCGCCCGTTTCAACATAGCATTTGGCTCACTTTTCCTTTATCCTTCTACACTGAACTCTTTCCGAAATGTATCACTCTTCTCTCTTACTTCCATTCTTTCAGTTTTTTTTTTCTTTCTTTCTCTCCTTTCTCTCTCCTTCGCTTTACTGTTCTACTGCTTAGTTAAACCGATCTGCGAAAAAGGGGGGAGGGGAAACACTGTTACCAATCTACCACTGGGGAAATAAAAATTGCTTGTACCAGATGAACAAAAAAAAAAATCACTGTGTTCAGACCAACCAGGTGAACCCCAGCACACAACCACGCAGTTCCAAGGAGGAGGCAAACCCCGACAATGTGTGGTGTTCACTGTCGCCAAGCGAGAGTAAAGGTCTAAGTTACCAGGTACGAAACCCTAAACTCTGGCGCGGAAGAAGGTGTTCGCTGCTGTTGTTTGGCTGGCGCTGATCGTGCCCGGAAAGTCTCTCTTCCAGGGCACTCGAAACCTCCCTCGAACCGCATCTCGAACCGTTCGTTTCTTGAGGAACGCAACTTCGGGCGAAAGAGGGATATGCAAACGGAGGAAGGGGAGAGGGGAGGAAGGGGGAGGGGAGGAAAGGGAAGGAAAAGGGAGGAAGGGGAGTGGGGTGCAAAGTAGAGAGAGGGAACAAGGGGAGAAAGGGGCGGGGAGACGAGAGGCAGGGGAGCGAGGAACGGAGGGGCGAAATCAGGACAAAAAGAAGCAGATACCGAGTACAATCGGGGAGACACACTGTGGCAGCGACGATACATCCACTTGTACAGCAAGTAACATACAAAACAGAACAAAAACGACAACTGAAACAAAGAAACTCAACGAGGTCAACGATAGCGATAAGATATAAATAAATGACGAACGAGTCAGATCTGATAACACCTTTCTCGAGCTAATATCTAAGCCTCCCCCCCCCCCCCCCAGTGCTGGCGTGCGTCGTCCGCGTGGGTGGACACATGCCGTGGGTTTGATCAGGAGACACAATCATCTTCGCAGTTCCAAGGCACAGACGGGGAAATCAATACATTCCCCGACCTCAAATGCAGTTAGGCAGTTCGCACCTGTCCCTATCCACGATTAGGGCGCGGGGGAGGCCGAAGAAGGGGAGGGGAGGGGAGAGGGGGGACGCAGGAGGTTTGGTCTAAGAGTGGATATGTAAGTATATGTATTTGAGTTAGGGAAGGGGGAAGGAAGGAAGGAAGGAAGGAAGGAAGGAAGGAAGGAAGGGAGGAGAGAGAGAGAGGGAAGGGGGAAGGGGGAAGGGGGAAGGGGGAAGGAAGGGAGGAGAAAGAAAAGAGAGAGAGAGAGAGAGAGAGAGAGAGAGAGAGAGAGAGAGAGAGAGAGAGAGAGAGAGAGAGAGAGAATGAAAGGATTAAAAGCGAAAGCAGGGTTAATTCCACGGATGAATGGACACAAAGGCGCATCAACCCGTTTACTACTTTCCGCGGAAATGGCAGCGAGATGAAACGAAGGAAGGAGATACCCAATAGAAAGCGGAGAAAGAGGATACGAACAATATAAAGAGTGGGGGAAAGAGAGAGAGAGAGAGAGAGAGAGAGAGAGAGAGAGAGAGAGAGAGAGAGAGAGAGAGAGAGAGAGAGAGAGAGAGAGAGAGAGAGAGAGCAAATAAACCCAAAAGCTCAGGGATCTTGCAAATGACTCGGGCAAAATTACTCGAGCAAAAAAAAAAAAAAAAAAAAAAAAAAAAAAAAAAAAAAAAAAAAAGAAAGAAAGAAAAGAAGAAAAAAAAAAGGTGCGTCACGGTAAAAAGTGAGAAGCGGAAGAAGACCTCTTGTGCAGAAACGCTCCCGGTGTGGAGGCAGGGTGCGAGAGACACAGGCTGACATATGGGCACGTAAAGCGGAGCGGGGGAGAGGGGAGAGGGGAGAGGGGAGAGGGGAGAGGAGCAAGGGGGAAGGGACAAGGGGAGAATGGGGGAAGGGACAAGGGGAGGAAGAGGAGGGGGAGGAAGGGCGCAATGTTGGGTGAGGGAACAAGGGGAGGAAAGGACAGGGAGAAGGGAGGCAGGGGGAGCGGAGAGGGGAGAAGGGTTGGGAGAGGGAATGATGGGACGGGGAGAAGGGGAGAATGAGAGGAAGGGAGAGAAAGAAGGGGCGGGCTGAGGGAAACAGCACACGGAGAGGAAAACGACGGGGATATCGTCAGCGGGACCGAGGAGGGTTGCTAGGCCGTTTCGGTTGCTAAGAGCGCAAGTAGGGGCGACCGACGGAAGGAAGTAGAAAGAGGCAGCCTAAGCACTTTCTTCCCCCTGACGCAGCGATCCATTTTTTTTCTACTTGCATAGTAATCCTCTCCTCCGCCAAACCGCCCCTCTGCCACAGCGACACCTGCGCCACTGCCTCTCCGGTGCTCGACCCCCCACCCCACCCCCACCCCATCCGAAGCCTCCGTCACGGGTGTAAACAAAGGAAAGTTCGGACGCGGCGCCACGGCCAGTCCGCACCGTCCGACCGCGGCCGACCGACCAAGCGCTTGCGAACCGGGCCGGAGGAATCGCCTCGTCGGATCCCGAGTAAGGCCTTCCATTTCGCAAACAGATCAACGCCCACGGCCGCCGGAAGCCGCCTTATCGGGAGCGGACGCCCGCAGACGGCGCTGCAACGCCACCACGCCGGCCTCGAGGGGAAAGGCGAACGCGCGGGAGAACAAGTGCCAACGCGGCGGCAGCTCAAGCAAGCGATGATGCCTCAAAGCACACATCAGCTGACATTATACCCCTCCCGCCCCCTCCCCCTTCCCTCCCTCCCCCCTCCCTCGCCCTGCCACGTGCCCTATACCCTTTGCCTTCTTTCCCAATGCCCTATTGCCCTCATACCCTCCTTCCTCTTCCCCCACCCCCCCTCGTCCGGGCCTTCTGAGAACGCCCTTCCCCTCGCAACCGAACCAAGCCTGCACTCGCTCCCCTCAAGTGGCTCACGTAATGCTTCGTACGCTTCCTCGAATCTCATTTTCTCTTCGCTCCTTTTCTCAAACTTTATCTTTACCTTTTTGCTTTCGTCTTGCCCTCCAGCCCTCTCAACCCCCCCCACCCACCATCCCCCCTCCCCCCACCCCCTTTCCGTTTGCTTGTTTCGACACCGCTGGCCTATCCGGTGACAGGCGTGTGAAATGTCATCCCAAAGATCCCCGAGATTCGCGAAAACGTATTTACGGCGCCGCTTTTTATTATTATTATTATTATTATTATTATTTTTTATTCTCTCTTATTCGCTTTTCCTTCCAACAAAAACTGGTTTTCCCCTTCCTTTCCACGGAACAAAAATAGAACCGTGTGCCATGTACAAGTGGCAATAAAAAACACAATAATCTACAAAAAAAAATGTCACGGAAAGCCAAAAGAATCAGTTACATACCCTCCTTATAATAATAACATTAATAATAATAATAACAACAATAATAATGATGATGATGATAATAATAATAATAATAATAATAATAATAATAATAACAACAATTATAATGATAATAATAATAACAATAATAATAATAATAATAATAATAATAATAATAATGATAATAATAATAATAATTACATAAACAAAAACTCAAAATAAAGGCCACCATATGATTTCCCTTTAAATAATTCAGTAATTCCTCGGCTTCACCCTCCCTCTCTACCCCCGACCCCCCCGCCCACCCACCCAGAGCGCCGCCCACCAGCCAACCACCAGCACGTGACTGCCTCGAGCGCACCCACGCCCACCCGCCCGGTCCCGTCACGGTGTCGAAGTGACAACTTGGCGTGTGCTGTCTCTCTCCCCCCCACACCCCCACACTCCTAACCCTCCCTTCCTCCCTCCCTCACCCCACACCCCATTATCCACCCCACATCTATCCCCCCACACCTACACCCCACACACCACCCCACCTCCATCTCCCCTCTCCATGCCCTTCCCTACCTACCCCCTCCCCCTTCCCCCTTCCCCCCACACATAAATAACCCGCCATACCCATTATCGGCGGACGCGCTTTTCGAATTTACTTCCGTCGTTATCTACGGGGCCGACAACGCGGCGGATCCATCGGCCAGGGACGAAAATCACAGGCCCGGCGCGCAGGTATCGTAGCTAAATGCGAGTGTTGCACGCGCGGCTGCAATCTCGCTGCGCCCTTCCGCCCTGGGTCGACCAATGCCGGCGCAGGGACTCATACACTTGTATTCTGTCTCTGTCTCTTTCTCTTTCTCTTTCTCTTTCTCTACCCCCTCTCTTGTCCCCCTACCACCTCTCTCTCTCTCTCTCTCTCTCTCTCTCTCTCTCTCTCTCTCTCATTTCTTCCCCTTTTCTAACTCGTTCCTGCATTTTTCTTTTCCCGTTCCTACTCCACCTTCCTCTACCTTCCTCATTCCCATCTTTTCTCTCTCTCTCCTTCACTCTCCCTCCCTCTCGACATCTGCTTCCCTCTCCATACCTCCTTCATTCTTCCCATCTCCTCCATCCCCTCCCTCTTCCACTCTCCTCCTCCTATCCCCCATCCTCCTCCTATCCCCCATCCTCCTCCTCCTCCTCCTCCTCCTCCTCCTCCTCCTCCTCCTCCTCCTCCTCCTTCGTGATCTCCAGCTCTAATATCATGTGCCTCCGCATAACCTCCCACTCTTAATTATCTCAAGTTCTTGTGAAAAATCGTGGATAAGAAATTGTGGCCACTTGTGCGACCGCCTTACGAGGTTCTGAAAATAGGCTGGGTTACATGGAGGAAAGAAATGGGGTGGGGAGGGAGGGAGGGGAGGGAGGGCGGGGGGGAGAGAGAGAGATAGAGAGAGGGAGAGGGATATATATATATATATATATATATATATATATATATATATATATATATATATATAGAGAGAGAGAGAGAGAGAGAGAGAGAGAGAGAGAGAGAGAGGGAGAGGGAAGGGAGACAGACAGACAGAGAAAATGAGAAAGAAAATGAAAGAGACTATGAGAGTGACCCTGAGGGCAAAGTTACAAAAAGTAAATAAAAAAAAAGAAAGAAAGAATGAAGGAACCAAAGAAACCACAATAAAACAAAGACAAAACGCCCACATCATACACAGAACATAGGATCATATACACTCCTCCTGCATAATTAAAAGCCGGTACACGTGACGCGCTCCCAAGACATGCGACCACAAAAAAGAGAGAGAGAAAAAAAACAAAGAACGAAAGAAAAAAATACAAGAAAGGAAATAAACAAAATTAGACAAAAAAAAAAAAAAAATAATAATAATAATAAATCACGGCACGAGACAATATCCCGGTATCAGGTCGCGGGGGCTAATCAGTCACGTGACCTCGCCGATGCACTGGGGTTGCATGAGAAGAGGAGGTGGGGGGAGGGGGGAGAAGGGGGTGAGGTGGAAGGCGTGGGAAGTGAGGACGAATGGTTAAAGGGGTAAGGGAGAAGGGTTAAAGGGTGAGGGTGGGGGAGGAGAGGAGAGAGAGAGAGAGAGAGAGAGAGAGAGAGAGAGAGAGAGAGAGAGAGAGAGAGAGAGAGAGAGAGAGAGAGAGAGAGAGAGGGGGGGGGGGGGGAGGTGTAGGAAAAGTCGACTACGAAACTACAATGCAAGGCTGGCCTGCGCAGGATCCATTTAAGAGAAATGGGGGCGGGGTGTGGAAAAGAAAGAAAAGGGGGGGAAAGAGGAAGGGGGGGGGGAGAAAGAGGAAGAGGGGGGGAGGAGGAGGAGGAAGAAGGGGGAGAAAGAAGGAAGAAGGGGGGGACGGGGAAGAATAGGAAGGGGAGGGAAGGGGG